CCCAGAGGAATCCGGTTTAAATCTCCCGTCTGTCTCTTCATTTTTTTCAAAAATCGTCGCCATTTTCTACTCGTTTCATTTTTAATAAAGCAAGTAAATTGTAAATAATATATATTTATAACTTTAAAAAAAAAAAAAATTTTTAATTTAATTAGACTGAAAGCGCTAGGTATAGGGTCCCTAGGGACTAGGAGCCCTAGTGACTAGGAGCCCTAGAAACCTTCCTCAAACAATTATAAATAATTATTAACATTAATAATAATCAACACTGAAGCGTTAGGCCAGGGAATCAAAGGGTTAAACCAGGGACCCCCCACGAATATTGTTAATAATAATTGTTAACATAATTGTTAACACCGGAAGTGTGCTGGAACATACATTGCTATACTACTCAATAAAATTGTCAATAATATTTATAATTTTATAAAAAAACATTTAAATAAATTAGACAGAAAGCAATAGGTAGGGTCCCCAGGATCTCGGAGCCCTAGGAACCTTCTTCAATATAAAACCCTTCCTAAAAAAAATATAAATAATTATTAACATTAATAATAATTAACATGGAGAGGTTACGCTGGGGAACCGAAGGGTTAAGCTAGGGACCCCCGCAGGTTGGCGTGAAACATACATTGCTATACTACTGATCTCTATGGTGATTTTAAGTTTAATTGAATTTGCAAAGTTATATTTGTTCAGTAAATAATTTATGTTTTTACATCTTAATTTCATGAGATAATGCAATCTTTTTTTCTTTTCCAGACATATTTTTTTCAACACGTACAATTGAACGTATGCGTGCGAAATCGTTAATATAATGTGTTTGTAGGCAATTAGTATGACTGATGTACGTACTTTTTTTCCTTTCTTTTGCTCCGCGGTTTTTGTTTGTTATACTGTTAATCATAAAAAAATAATGAATTGAATTTGATAAGTAATTAATTCAAAAATTATTCTAAAGCCATAATAACACTAATGAGTTATAGCATTAATAACAAAAAAGAATTATAACAAAGTATAAATTTGCATAAATGGCTTGGCAACTTCATTATTATTTCTATTTCTATTATTCTTTTAAATATTACTTGTTCATCTACAGTTAAAATTACGTATAACCGACACGGTCGTTATACATAATGCCTTTAAAGATAGATAAAAAAAGATTTTATATTAACAACGTTAAATTTATATTTTATAATTGTTACTTTTGATAGATCTTGTGTGTCTCTTTTTCATAATTTTTCTGATTTATTTTTAAATTTTTAAAAATAATAAAATCCTTTTGTAAAAAAGAAAACTTAATGAAGTGAAGCTAGTTTATTCGTGGTTTGATTGGCTGAAAGATAGTCACATGAATAACTGTTATGTAATAACATATGTATACTGTATATGCTCGTAAAAGATTACTACAGATTTTCGTAGGTTAAATGTTCGAAAAGTGTACCAGTATAGTTGTCATGAATTTAATATGAATGATTGATTTATTCATACTAACCTCAAAATAAAACTGTGTGATATCTTAGTACATAGAGAAATAAATTAAATTTTACTTTATGCAAAAGTTTAGCTTTAAATAAACTAAGTAGACAATAAATCATATAAATCAGTAGATTATCATGATAAAATATATAGTTATTTCGACTTTATTAAGTTACGTAAAATATAAGAAATATTTTTAAAAAATGCACTGATTACAAACCCCAAACGTTTCAAACCAGAAACGTTTCAAAAACGTTTTCTGGAAAACTTTTAAACATTGATGACTTTTAGTGAAAAAAACGTTATTAAAACGTTTTTAAAACGTAATATATGTCCGCGAGTAATACATTTTGAATTCGTTTTACAAACGTTTTAAAAACGTTTTTTATAAAAATTTATACAATAGACCAGTATCACAATACGTTTTTAAATCGTTTAAAAACGTTTTTAAAAGGTTTTCAAAACGTATTGTGATACCAGCCTACTATATAAATTTTTCTGAAAAACAGTTTAATAACGTTTTCAAAACTTTGTCAAAACGTATTGTGTTATCAGCCTACTGTATTTTTATGGGAAAACGTTTTTAAAACGTTTTCAGAACATTTTCGAAACGTTTTTAAATCGTTTTCAAAACGTATTCTAATAGTTCATTGTATATGTTTTTCTGGAAAACGTTTTTAAAACGTTTTTAAAACGTATTTTGATACCAGCCTATTGTATATATTTTTCTGAAAATCATTTTTAAAACGTTTTCAAAATGTTTTTAAAACGTATTCTGATACTAGCCTATTATAGAAAATTTTCGATAAAACCTGTCTTAAAACATTTTTAAAACGTTTTTGTAGCGTTTTAAAAACTTATTACTAGCGGACATATATTACGTTTTAAAAACGTTTTAAAAACGTTTTTTTCACTAAAAGTCATCAACGTTTAAAAGTTTACCAGAAAACGTTATTAAGACGTTTTTAAAACGTTTTGTGCTCATCGAGAACATGGATGTCCACTGAAGTATGTTATTTAAATCATGCAGGATATAATTATAGAAAATTATAAAGATTTTAGAACTTATCTCATATTTTGATTGTATGTTTCAAACTTCTAGATAATGATTTTTCAACACTTCTTCGGATGATAAAAACTTATAACTGCACTGATAACGTTTTCAAATTATGAATATCAACGTTACTGTATATTTCTTTACAAATAAATAATACTGTCGGGTATATCTCAGAACAAATTACGGGAATATTTAAATTTTCAATTTCGTTAGTAAAAATTAAAATGAATACAAAAAAAGCGCAAGAATTGAGCACGCACTGCGCTTTATATCAAAAGTCTATTTAAACATAGCTCAGATGTTATTGATCAGTTCTAGATTCCTTGAATATATTTTTGAAGTATATGTTTAACCTTTCAATTCTTACTATATCAAAATATTCTAATAGTCTCAACCTCGTATTTTTCATATTTTCACTATTATACGTTATGTTTAACGTCTGCAAATGTTCTGATAATGAATTAAATGAATTATCAGATTAAGTTATTCACATGAGGTATACCAATAGAATTTTCAATTTGAGAATTGATTAGATATTGTTTTCCACCCAATTATCAAGCTTTATTTAAAGAATGTTGGTGCAACGATTTTTTTAGAAACATGACAACGTTATCGACAACAAACAAAATGTTGCAGAAATGTTGCGGCAACATAGAAATGTCTACTTTTATTTAATGAAAAATGTTACTAAAATGTTTTTGCAACATGTGCAACTTTTCAGTAACGTTATTAAAAATCAACATCGTTCATTGCTGTTGTTATAACAATGTTGATAAAACATTTTAGAGACGTATCACGGATACTTCAACTTCTTTGACAGAAATTAGAATTTCTGCAAGCCCGGGCTGAGCGTGAACAAATTATTTACCGCGGTGGATTCGAAAAGCACATTCGCTTCGTTGGAAATGATGATGCTGGGCTGAACACTACTTGAAGAATATAAAGCTACGGTGAACGAGAGAGAATAGGAATGATGATCAATCAATACTCATTATCAGCAACTTACATTTATTCCACATACAATACAATTATCAGTTAATTGGTCGCTTTACACATTAATTCGCCGCGTTGGTTCTCGTGTGATTGAACTCACCACAAATACATCATTTAATAAATCACCACAAATACACAAATACAAATAATCATGCAAACAATATTCAAATTATCGCTGAGGTGTACAAAGTAAAGATAGACACGCAGTTTTCCGGTCGAGACAAATACTACGGGTTGTTGTCTTGTCCTTGATTCCTCTAAGTAGCTGGTCAGCAATTATTATCTCTCGGATACTCAAATAGCACTCAGCTGCTTTCGACTAAGCTTGCGCGCATCAAGAAGAACTTGGCGCTACTTGTCGATCACGCTTGATCACTACTTGACTTCTCAAGTAGTGATCAAGCATCTCTGCAACACCCTACATCTCTCTCTCTCTCTCTCTCTCTCTCTTTTCCGCGCTCTCTTTCTCCCAGATCTTCGCCATACCAGCCTCCTACCTCGCTCGATACAGGAATATAACCTAAAACAAAGCGACATCAGGCATCGATAATCGGTTCACATGGTTCCAATGCCCGGCTCTGGCAATGGCAGAGGAGAGACCTGAAGGCAAGAGAGAGAAGCAAATAGGGTGGGCTATAAAACAGATAGCGCCCTGTCACAAACGAATAAGCAAAACACTATTACAACAAAGATATAACATGCTAGCGATAACTGTACTATGCAACAGTATACTAATTGCAACCTCTTAACAGCATTCTGAACACATCCGTGCAATATTTTTCATCTACAGGGATTTCGGGACGTAAGTGCAAAACATCATGGCAACATTTTTGGAATGTCGCAATTACAATTCTAAAACGTTGCAAAAATAATAGAGAGGGAAATGGAAAAACAAAATTATTCTCCGTTTATATATTAAACACAATGAATTTATACATTTAACAATGTAAGTTTAATTTTTTATCATCACTTTATTGGTAATAAACAATTGTATTAATTTGAATAATCGAAATTATTGTATTACTAAAACTCGATCCCAAGTGACATACTCCGTAACCGATATTTTAGACCTTCGCTTTAAAATTTGAAAATGATAATCGCTTCAAAATAATTTGCTTTAAAATGACGATCTTTTCGCAAAAATTTATTATTTTTACACATAGAATTATTATCAATCGATGGGCACTCAAGTTAATAGAGCATTTTAGCACTGATTTATTTTAGCAAAATGATGAATGATTACATACGTGAAAGTAAAAAAATGAAATTGAACGATAAACAGAGTATCGTTATAAACGCTTGCATATAGTTTTATAAAAAACCAGTATGAGATATTTTACAATAATATATATTCCTACAAATCATGTCAGTAAAATAATTATGCAGAAATTATTCATGTACATCGTGCATGCTTATTATTTCAAAACTTTTCTCGAACACTTTAAGATATATCTCAATTTTAAATGTTACGTACGACGAGCTAACATCCTGACGTACGGGTTTACCAAACATGCCAATGCTGCAGTAACATTTTCGTACATTCTAATTTCCAGTTCCTTGTAAAGTTCGTATTTTTTATGTTGAAAAAAAAACATTACTATATTTTTTCGTTTCAGTCCTGTAATAAGAATACTCGTAAAAATTGATTGTTCCAAAAATTAAAAAATATATAAAAACGAAAATTCAGGAGTATTGATGACTACATTTATAATCATTACGCGAAAATATTTGTAAAAAGGATAATATAAAGATAATATCAAATTTCTTTGCCAATTTAAATTACGCCGAGTAATAAACAAAGCATGCTATTGACGCATTACAAATTAATATCCTTCACACTATGCTGATGAAATAATTCGCATGCCACGTTTCTTTCAATGTTCGCATTTTTACGATGAGCTGATACTCTGTATATATCTAATAAAATACGTTATTATCACATTATCAAACACATAAATATCACGTGCGTGTGCATGACAAAAACCATATTGACACTATCTCACTTTTTTTATTTAAATACGTTACAGGCCTTCCGAAAGGAGGTCTTAAAAGTTAGCACCCAACAATTGAAATATTGAACAAATCTATAAACTAATTGCACCATTCGATTAGGTGGCTTTTCGTTAATCACATATCGTTTGTGCTTTGATTATGCTCATTTTCTTTATGTGAAAAACAGATAAAATTAATTGTGGGTGCTGGCGCTAGCACCCTAATTTGATTCTTCAAATATAGTGGTTTATATCGTGAAAATAATTTTTTACAATATACCAATCGTTAGTGCGTCTAACGTATTATTGGCACCCAACATAAAATTATTAAAAAGTTTATCATTTAATTAAATAAAATAAAATAATACTCTTGCGTATTTAAGAAGGTTATTATGACATTGTTTCGCGCATGCGCCTCGAATGGAACATTGTTACTCAGTCGGAGACTCAATGCCGTCTAATAAACCGAAGTAAACTAAATTCAACTGAAGCATATTGATTTAATTCAGCCATACTGAGATACAATAATTCAACTAAACTTGAAAACAAAACCAATCGTACAAGAACAAAATTAAGGAATATATATATTTTCGTATATTTTAATAGATTTAATTATATTTATGTTGGTTAATGTAGATGTAGCTATAATATTTTTTTCGTCATCACAATTGATCCTGAACGTGTAAAATATATGAATTTTGTATTGCAAAGAATTAACAAATTGATTCATGAAAGAACTCGCATAATGTTCTTATTTGAAGCTTTGTATACCATTGTTATATCCATGGAAAGTTTTACTTTTTTGATTTTCAATCTTTGTAAGCCTGCGCATTAACTATTACAGTTGCGACGGGGGAGAGGGAGGGGAAAAATAAAGTGACAATTATCTTTCCGGTCTCGCACTGTCGCCAGCGGCGTAGGAAGCCGAGCGTACGTAACGTGTGCAGCTTTATTTTGTTTGTTGGGCGCCAGCTACCGGGCTCTCGCGTTAGGAGAGTGGGTAGCGCTGCAACGTTGGCTGGTTCGACTCGGCGGAGGTGGTCCTGCCGGTCGCTGTGATGGTCGGGTGGTTTCCCCGCTGCCTCCCTCCTCCGATCGTCGTCGTTGGTCTCGCGCTCGGGCTATCACCTGTGGGGGGGGGGGGGGAGATGAAAGTGGGAGCGCGAAATCCTAGACTGAGATCATTCAGGTTCGACACAGGGGGACGCGCGTCGAGCGAAAGAGAGGAGGGGGCAACGGGTGGTTTTTACGGGCCACCCACGGCTGCGGCTCATTCAGCTAGTCAGGTGTAATTCGGGGCACGATGACTCTTGGCTCAGGAGCGGGTATATCAAGTGAGGCGTCGCAGGGGCGCCTCGGCTGACGGACTAGCAAGCTGGAGTGGGGTTCCCTCCTCCGATCCTTTACCAACTGGTAGCGCGGTCTCCGCGACAGCGATTATCAAACTGGATGGCGATTGAATTACTCGCGCGCGCGCTAACTAACTACGAAACCGATCGCGAAAGCTACGGGGGATGGGACAATCAAGTGGGTGTAGTCAATCATAAAACCAATTTAAATACGATTCAGATTTATTAGGCCAACAGTCCCAAGATCAGCCCAGTAGTCAACCCTTCGCGATGGTTAGCTTGATCTAAGTTAACGGGGGCGCGAGTGGCGTACTACGACGCGAAGTTGATTTAAGCGGACAATAGCTCGGATAAATAATTTCGGGTCTCGGACACAGTTACGCGATGTCGAGATGTTTACTCGCGGCGAAAATTCCAGTTCACTCGAGGTAAATACGCACAGGAATTCGGTCGGTCGTGCAAAGGTTAGTCATTACTCGCGATGTTGTTAGCACTTCGTAGCGATGATCGCGTAAGGAAACAAAGACGACCATGCGTACCGAAACTTTGCCGGTCAAACGAAGGTCTGGCGCGACTCGCGTAATGTTTTCAACCGGCTCTGGAGAAGGAATTTATAGACGCGCGCACTTAGAAAACTTGTTTCTCGGATATCAACGGTATAACGATGCACAAGACAATGCTCGGAAGGTCGGTGGCGAAAACACGCATAACAACGAGGACGGGCGCGCGAAGGTCATGCGACATACCCGCGCCACGGACGTTCGGTAATCACGCGGCGATTTCGTCTTTCGGACACAGGACAATAAGACGGCGCAACAAGGAAATGTTCGGAAAATCAACGGCAAATATGCATGATCGCGAAGCGTAAAGCGCGCGAAGGTCGTACGGCACTCCCGTACCGCGGATGTTTGGCAATCACGCGGCAACTTCGTCTTCCGGACAATGAACACTACGACAGCTCGACAAAAAGATGCTCGAAAGGTCGACAATAACTATCATCGGACGCGCGAGGGTCGTGCGACACTCCCGTAACGCGGCGGTCGGCAACCACGCGGCAATTCTACGTTCGTCGATCATGCGAGAACTAATAGAGGAGAGGCGTACTTACTCCGGCAAATTTTAAGAGTGATTGCGGTTGCGGCCACCGCCGCCAAAGCCGCTGTAGCGTCACAGCTACAAACGTCGTTTGCGTTGCCGTTGTTGCTGTTGCTAAGCTGGTGCTAATGCTGATGCGGGTGCTACTGCGAATGCTGATACTGCTGCGGGTGCTGAGTTATTACTAATGCTGATACTGCTGCGGGTGCTGAGCTATTACTAATGCTGATACTGCTGCGGGTGCTGACTATTGCTCACTAATGCTCACTATTGCTCATTACTGCTCACTATTGCTCACTATTGCTCATTACTGCTCACTATTGCTCACTATTGCTCATTACTGCTCATTTATGCTCACTATTGCTCACTATTGCTCATTACTGCTCATTTATGCTCACTATTGCTCACTATTGCTCACTATACTTGGGCACTCGTGCGGAAATTCTCCTTTGTCGGCTCCAGGGCTCAGCGGCGCACTGGTCAGCACCGGAGTTCAGCGGGTACTGGCGCGCCGTTTTTCGGCGACGCGCCGCTTCTCCTAGCTTACTTCCCCTTAGTTATTTGTTGATTGGCTGGCTTGTTGCTAAGCCGGGTCTCAGCGCCGTCTATACCGATATTTTTCGCCCGCGCAATTTATTTATTGGTCAGGTCTTGGCGCCTAATTTGCCTACTGGTTACAGAGATAGCGTCGGTTTTGTCCTATTAGCCTAGTTACCCCTAAGCCGATAACGATTGGCTGGTCAGTTAGCGTCGCTTGTCTATCCTTTTTCTATCTATTGCTCGGACGGTCTTGCCGATTCCCCTCGCTCGCGTCCGATTGGTCTCGTATCGGCGGTCTCGCTCACTCTCACGCGCTCGGTTGCCCCTACCTTAGTCTAGCTAAGTCTGCCTCAGTTAACGGGGGCTTGCGATCAGCTGATCGCGGCTGGAAACTTTAAGGGCTCCCAGCTTCCCGGGGGAGTGTCGGATCGGGTCGTGATGGCGTGAGGGGTTGTACGCGGGCGTAAGGGTCGTGCGCATCGGTCAGGGAGACTTCTGGGGGCCATAGTTCGCGAGATCCAGACGTGCGTGGGTGGGTATATGCGATCGTGGCTGTTCTGCCGCGTAATGCCGGTAGTGTATATTTTTCGTGTGATGACGCATCATCACACAGTGGTTGATGACCATTATGAAGTAATTTCTTTATTCGTCCAATACAATTTTTAAATCTGAAAACTCAAAAATTATTTAATTTTCTATGTCTTCGTACATGATTTGCTAAATTGTATAAACAATGCTTATCGTAAGACATGTAACGACGACCATACAATCTTTGAAAATTTGAAATGAATATGCACATCAGTTTTTCGGCATAATCAACGCAAGAGTTAAGTTTACATATCAGTAGATTGCTAAGTATCTTTATTGCAACATGTAGAACTACAAAGTTGTTGTAATTAGCTGAAGATAAGTATTCTTTCGTGAAAATGATACCAGTGTATAATATAATTTGCTTCTATTCTGTGGCTTTAAAAAATTTTATGTAATTCATACTTCTTGATTTTTTGGCAAACCCATATGGAATATAATCTGTTAAGTTGGTCATGGCAATTGAAATACGACTAATAATAATTGATAACAACTTACAAGAGAAAGAAGTAAATAACCAAATAAAAAGTAACTTCTAGTAGACACCAAGAAACACCATCTGCATGTGATCCACTGGAACTTAGGTAACTAATCCTAGCTTTGATATTTTAGTTAACAGTGAGTTTTATTGTTAATTTTTTTTCAATTTTTATTCGAATATGCAAAGGGCAGATAAGATGGCCAAAACTGCCTTTGAGCCATCGGATAAAGTGACTTAGCCATTATGTTTTGTATGAATAGAAACTTCTTTTCCTACATTTTCAGACCCCTATACTAAGGTGGAACACAATGAGACCCTATTTTGTGTTCTGGGATTTTTTAATGATATCTCGATCAATTTTTAAGCTAGAAAAAATTTTCTTTTTGGTTTTGTAGGGCTTTTTAAGTTCTTCAAAACTGTTTATTCGAAAAAATAACTGGCAACAAATCCAAACTATTATAGCGTTTTGAAATTTCCAAAATTTTTTTCTCGAAAATTAAGAAAAACACTTTTCTGGAAAAGATATATTTTGTTTATTTTTACTCTAAAAATACGTCTATATTTTTGTTAGATT